TAGCTCTTTGATCAGGTGACCCCACCTGTTGTTTGGAGGTTCCATTGGGCCAAGGTGATGAATTTCCTCTGGTTCAGGCTCAGCTATCAGAAAGCCAGTACGGGCAATGCTATTACGCTTAGAGGTTGCCTGTTCTAGCTCTGTATCAACAGCATATAAAACGCCAGAAGGTCTGGAAGGCCACCAAAGAACGTTTCTCCTTCATCCATTACCTTTCTATAATCAAGATTTGTTTTGCATGGTAGAACAAATGTTCAGTCATGGGAAATCCAAGACTGGTGAAGCTGACCATCTTATGAGTACAAGGCTAAAACCTGCGGGATCACAACAACTTAGTAGTAAATTAAAAGTACAACTGCAGAATGTAAAAGCACGCTGGTTAAAAATGGGAAGGCTGGTCAATTTTGAAGTCTAATAATGCAGCACTCCAAGGATTATCCTTAGTCGTGTATATGTAAATGAACGTGCAGCCCGTAGTAATAAATCATGCAATAGACTGTTGGTCTTGCACAAATCACTCTCCCTGCTAAAAATAAGATAAATGCTTATGCTAAGAATGAGATGCTAAAGAAATTTCAGCACATTCCAATGACACGAATACATTCTGAAGCATTACTACTACTGTGCACAAGCAGCCCCTGTAGGAGAATACTGTAACCATCAAGAAATGAATTTATATTGCGGCTACATGATAGTAGTTAATAGCCTTTTTGCCTACTGAGAGTCACAAACATGCAGAAATAACCTATTTGAAGCTTCATGGGGAAACTGACTCAGGCAGGCAAGCATTCTTCAGGGCCAGTGTTCTGATTTGTTCTGTTAGCCACTGTATTTTTTTGGCACCTTTTACAATGTTTACCTTTTTAAATTTTCCAACCTTCATGGTAGATGCTGAGGCTGAAGTTAGTACAAATATGGACTGGGACTGGGACTGGGACTGGGAGCAGGTTGGTGGGTCTGCAGCTTCTATCGAATTATCCATGTGGATCAGTGGCTGCCTGACCAATTTCATCTATCAGCTTTAAGGTTCTCCTACTCTTGCTGTTTAAAGAGTTGATGCCTATAAGCTACTGGACTTTTGAGCTTTGGATTGGAAGATTTTTGGTAAGTGTTGGGGGTGAGTGGGTGTTAACTGGGGTGGCACTGTTTATTTTCCTAGTTAAGAGATGGGGGTCTAAAGGTGCAGTATAGGTCATCTTACCTTGTTGGAGCATTATTTCTTACCCTCCCATCCCCACCCCCCACCCCCATTATCTGGGTAAGAACAGGGTAATTAGAGGATGGACTGGAGTGGTATAGGTTGGGAGGTGGCTAGAAAGGGAGTGGGAAGGCTAGTTAGCTGGTTCAGCTAAGGGGGAGCTTGAGTGCTCATCAGAAGCATCCCTGAACCTGGCACCAGCTGCCAGGTGATATGGTTGGAGGCTCAGGAGGTTGGACAGGGCCCTGAGGCTGGAAGGGAAACAGATGGGGGGGATTAGAGTGAATGGGGAGGACAGGCAAAGCTATAATGATGGTGACTGGCAGAGGGAGATTGGCAGGAATCAGAGGGTGGGCTGCTCACAGGGAAGGTGACCCCAGGGTTTAGTACTCATACTGCCTTCAAACCCCTTGTGTTCTACCCCAAGGCCTGGTAACCAGGGCTTCAGAGCCCCTGGCATTCACCTGATGCTACTTAATGCACACTCAGTCTGTAACAAAGTTTCCCTCATCCATGACTTAATTGGGTATCAGAGGGCTGACTTTGTCTGCATGACCAAAACCTGGCTTGGCACTGGGGTGGAGGAGCAGGGCCCCCCCATCAGAGACCTGCCTTGCCAGATTTGGTGTGTGGCGCTGGCTATGAACCAAGGGCCAGCGTAGGGATGTAGCCATTGTCTTTGGAGAAACACTGCTGGCTTCTAGGGTTGCTCCTGTACAGATACCTGGTGGTGAGACCCTATTCGCAAAGTTGAGCTGTAGGGATCAGTGGGGATAAGAGATGCCTAGAGTGAACTTAACTGAGCCCACGCAAGTGCATTTCTTAGGCACTGCCTCACAGTGATATGGGTAGCAAAACATAGTTATTTTTCTGGCCTTATTGTGTCCACAGTTAAGCACGGTTGGTGGCCGTGCTTAAGGTGACCCAGTCTCTCCTGGGTACGGAGGGCTCAGGGGATACCGGTAGAGCCACTGTGAGGATTATTCCAGGCTTCTGTCAGATACACTTGCTTGGATTTGCTCAGAGTTGGAGTCTAGCTGTAAAGATCTTATGCCTGGTTCTCTGGAAAGAGTTTGAACCTGTTAGTTGTGATGAAGTGGACAGAGTCTTCGGAGCTGTGAGCTCAGCCATCTGTGTTTTAGATCATGTCCCTCCTGGCTGGTCAAGGCAGGAGGTGATATATGGTTGGGTACCGCAGTGGTTAATGCTTCTTTGTGGGAGGAGGTGATACCACTTGTCTTTAAAGTAGCCATTGCTGGACCCAATGGAAATGGACAATTTTCATCCAGTCTCCAACCTTCCCTTTTTAGGAAAGGCTGTTGAGATGTTGGCCTGCAGCTCCAGAGGGCCCTGGAGGATGTAAATTATCTGGACCCTTTTCAGTTGGGATTCAGACCTGATTATACCACTCATAGCATTGATGTGCTTGTTGAGGACCTCTTGGAGGCTTGGGGTGGATGCATTCCTGGCCCTCCTTGATCTTTCAGCAGGCTTCAGTACCATCAATCATGGCATCCTTCTGGACCAGCTCAGGGGGTTGGGAGTGGGAGGCACAGTGTTGCAGTGGGTCTTTTCCTTTCTCTGAGTCAGTGTTGATGGGGAGAGTGATTCAGCCTGAGGCACCTACTTTGTGAGGTCCTTCAGGTCTCTACTTTCTCCCTACTTCTGTTTAACATCTGCATGAAGCCACTGGGGCAGTCATCCATTGACACTTATACATCTCTGCCCCAAGTTGAGGTTCTTTCCCAGTGTCTGGAGATTGCAGAGGTCTGGATAGGGAAGAACAGGCTTTGGCTCAATCCTGGCAAGACCAAGCAACTATGGGTTTTGAGTCACCTCCAGATCTGGAGATTTTCCATCTCTGGCTGCGAATGGAGTTGCATCCCTTAGACAGAGCAAGTTGGCAATTTGGTGGTCGTCCCACTCAAAAAACAGGTAGCAGATGTGGCAGGAGAACTGCACAGGCACCTTGTGTACTTGTGCCTGTTTCTGGATTGGGAAGCCCTGATCACAGTGACTCATGCCCTGGTCACCTCCTGATAAGATTACTGTAACACAGTCTACAGGGTGCTGTCCTGAAAAGCATTTGGAAACTGCAAATGGTCCCAAATGCCATGACGCAGACAGTTTTGTCCATTTCACTTTACACTGATGTGACACCATCACTCTGCAAACTACATTGGCTTCCATATGCATTTGATTATCTCCTATAATGGTCTGCATGGCACAGGGCCAGGTTATTTGTAGCACTGCCTATCTCCAATTACACATCCCAACAGGGCCAGCAGGTCCCATCTATTACGGTGTGCCATATGGCAAGACCTAGTTGTGCCTTCTCTGTTGAAGTGCCTATCCTGTGGAATTACATTCCCCCAGAGATCTAGATGGCCCCAATAATTTTGTAAGGCATTACAGACCTGGTTGTTCTCCCACGCTTTTGGGCCAGGAGATTAAGCAAGCCTTGTTGGCTAATCCATTTGATTCCACTCTTTGGACTAGTAAGGGAATGTTCTTAGATGTTTATTTTGTTGTTTCTGATCGTGACCTATATTGTGGTTTTGTTTTGGTTTTAGTCCTTGTTCACCACCTCAAGCCATTGTATTGTAAGGTGGGCAGCTATATAAATTGGTTAAATTAAAAAAAAAGTCCTATTGGATCAGGCCAAGCCCCATCTAAGGGTGTTTGGTTTTTCACAGCAGCCAAGCAGGTACTTCCGGGGCGCCTGCAAGGAGGAGATGGAGACGTATACATCTATCAGCGTTGTTTTCTGCAACTGTTATTTGGAAGCATACTGCCCCCAATCTGGGCATAACATGGAGCCTTCAAGTTCAATACTTGATGATCTGTCCACTTTGAATTTATCCAAGTCACCTTTAAAGCCTAGGTGGTGGCTACCACCTTGTTCTTCGGTCAGTTTCCTTAATTCTTTCCTTCAGCTTTTCTAAATCTCCTTCCACAGAGCAAATTGCCATATCACTTTTGCAAGAGGTCTGAATTGCAAAGAGTTTGGGAATTAAGGCAATGGGCCAAGCGTGACCCAAAATCAAGCCATGGATGTTCCCCATTGCGTAAGCAACCAGAGCAAAACAGGGCCACACTTGTTACCTGCATCCTTTTTTGCTAATTTGCCAACTTCCAGGTACTGTATTGGAAGGCTGCATACCTTTCACAGGGAATCTCTGGCACCTGTGTGGGCTCCCTACATGATTCAGCATCTTGATTTGTGGAGGGTGAAGGGATGTGCTACAAGAGCAATCCTACCTATGCATTGTTGCCATGAGCCCCTATTCAGAAACTGATTACCCCAAACATTTCCCAATATTTCTGGCAGTGGCTGCCATTCATATTAATGAGGTCAGCTCATGTTTTTGTTACTGTAACCCATAATCTTTGCTCAGTTTTGTACTGTCTCATAATGACTTGGGGGAAAAAATCTGATTTATTCACTCAGTGTTACACAAAGTGCCAGGTGCTTTCAGCAAAAGTGCAAACAAAATAGTTCATTTTCAGTTATAACTCTGTGCAGGTCTACATGGGTTTTAACTCCATTAAATTCAACCGGAATTACTCCTACATAAATGGGATTGGGCGGATTTCCTCATGTTAAAGACTACCAATCTCATATTGCAGTGTGACCTCGAAGGAAAAAAACATTAGAGCAAGGGAACAATGAAAAAGACAAAATTAATGTTTCCAACATATTCTGGCTTTGATTTGGAAAAACTACTCAGATGATCAATTTCCTGTTACCATTTCAAAACAGGCCTATCAAACCAGCTGGATGGAAGAACCAAATCACAGATCTGTCAACTGCATTTACTGGAGAAGTCACCAGTCATAAACTCATAAGCACTGCAGCATTGCCTGCTTGACATATTTAATGAAAAGAATAGATGGCTTTTCCTGTTTCTATTTCCAGATCACAGATGGTTTCCTTTTCTGAACACTGTGCATCAGCTTCCCCTGACGTTTGCATCATGGTCATTTTAATTCAGGAGCACTCCAAAACACATTTTTTAAAAGATTTTGCTTATGACCATATCCATCCATGGTCCATCAGTCTCCACCCAGGGTCAAAAATATTTTATTAGTTAATATATGCAGGCTGTAAGATGAATGGGATAATATATAATAAAATACATATTCTATAAACGTATCCTTTATTAAAACCTGTATTCCCCAACCTAGAACCTTTAGCCAGACTGCTTGTGGTTTATGGAAGTTGAAGTCTAACATATCTGGAGAGCATCAGGTTAGGGAAGACAGGCCAAGGCAGCTCCAAACTTGCCTGCCTCTTGGTGCACAATGGTTTATCAGGGTTCTTGAGCATGACAATGCAAAGTACTCATCTCCTTTCCATCCTGGCTGCAAGAATGGACTGTCCAATGCCTTCTCTGACATCAGCAATGAATGGGCAAGTCCAGAATCCAACCAAATCCATACTCTTCTGTGGTCTGGTGTGACAGTTTATCAAGCCATGGGTGGTCCAAATAAATCCATTGTTTCCACCACCAAGGAGAGGTGCTCCAAGAAGGAGCTGATGGAAACACGCAGGATCCTGGCTTCCTCAGCTCTCCATCGCCTGAAAATAATAGTAATAAAAATAATGAATGGCGCATTGTTAAATGTACAAGATTGGTCTCACATCAACATGTACTTTCCATAACATCATATATTAGAGTTGTTGTCTGAAAGTGCAGACCTCACTGATTTCCCATGGATCCCCTTACTTTTTGCACTTATAATTCACCTTTCTTTAGGAATTCAAGGTGACATATGTAATAATCTCTCTCAAATTTTATCCTCCCAACAACTCTATAAAATAAGTAAAGCTGACAGAGAGCAACCTTGGCTCACAATGAGCTTTATGGCCGATCAAGAATATGAACCAGTCCCAGTCTACTACGCTAAACCTTACACCATGCTGGGTCTTTCATCACACCGGCCCTGACCACCAAACGCTGTTACTTTCAAGTCCCCAAGGAGCATGTCCTGTTCTGAAAGCAAGCTCAGTCAACCCAAGAGATAATGGCAAACTCAGCATCACACACATAATTGCATGACTGAGCAGAGGCCAAACCCCTCCTCCTCGTTCCCCCAGGGCTGTTTCCCTTGATGGCACATGCCCCCTGCCTCTTCTAAGGTAAATGCTATAGATGGGGGCATATGAGCCACACTCACACATGTAAGGTGTCTTCTGTCACATTTAGTTCTTTGGTGATCCCTCCTTTGCGAGGCTCAGGATCTGGGGCCAGGGAACCCAAGGCAATCTTGGCCAATGTCGATGATGGAAAAGGAATTTTCAGCTCACTGATGTTGAGATAATCATAAGGAACATAAAATATAGAAAAGAGGATGGGGCAACTCTCCCCTTTCCTCATACTCCTGTCTTCTCACATCATACATTCTCTCTACCTTTAAGAAAGGAACGTATTAATCTCTGTTTAATCAATGGTTTTCAAGCTCAGTTCAAGGGATAAGCTTAGGCCTCTTCACAGCTTGTGATCTCAATATCCATCAGATCACCAAGTCTTCTTTCATCCTGAAGCCCAGGAGGTGGATACCAAAGACAGGACTTGTTTAATTACAGCTTTTTGGCTGTATCATTTCCTCAGGGAAATTCACCTGGCGCCAACATAATTTCCTTTCCCTTGTTTTTCTTCCCCCACACCTGAATTTGTCAGAATCTTTTAATTATTGTTATCTTAATCCCTTCATGTTGGAGAATAGTTTTTAGCTCAGTTTTTATTTATAACGTTTTTATTATATTATTTTTATTTATAACATTGCATTCATTTGCTCCTACTGTTGCATTTTAGATTTTTATACTGTACTATTGCTTTAAAGTATATGATTTACCTCTTAGTAAATAGATGTTATCTATGTACTATGTAGACAAATAAATAAGTGGTTAGACCTTATAATCCCTAGATGTGTTTAATAATGCCCATTTTGTAGCCAAGTTTATAAAAGCTAAGCAGGGTTGGACTAGTTAGTACTTGGATTGGCAAACAGCTGAAGGCTAGACTGAGAAGATGAAAAAAAAACCCACTGTAAAATAAACAAAGGAAACAATTTCTATATGATGGCCAAGAAAACTACATATCCATGTAGTCACCAGGAACCGAGCTTGACTCAAGGGAGCGTTTATCTCTTTTTTTATGGGTGGAAAAGACCAAAAGCCAAAACTGCAGGGCAAGGTGGCCCTCTTGTTTGACCTCAGCTCCAGTTCCTGCTTTTAAAAGGTCGTGGGATTGATTTAAACTGTAGGATATCATTAAATATTTTCATTAAGGTCCCCAGCTCTTAAGTGGATGGAGTATTGCCGGAGACCCCCGCAACCCTAGCAAAGGCGAACGCTTCCAAAACCATCAACATAATAGTCGCCTATTAGAGACGCCAATCTCTCCTCCCGCCAAAACTTTTAAAAATGGCAACCTAGGCTCTTATTTTATTTTATTTTATTTTATTAAGTCGTTGTTTCAGCACAGACGTCAACAACAAGCACGAGGGGATTTGAACACACCATGATTACACGCTCTTGATACCCACCGCCCTTGCCTTTTCCGCCTGTTGTTTCCCCGCCAGCTATTCAGTCCCGCCACCTAACTTCTACTCCGCGCTCATCCGCGGAGGGATGGCATTTGCAGGCTTAAGGGGACGAGGGCATCACGCCTCCCGCGTAAAAGAGGAAGCCTTTCCTAACAGCCATTGCCTTTGAGAAGAAAATGAACCCGGCGCCCAAGTCCTCCGATCCACCCCGCCGGTCTCCCCCTTTCATGGCTGCATCCCGCTCTCGCCCGCCCTGCCCAGCCCGGCCTCCGGAGCGGGTCTTTCTCACGATCCCGTGTGTCCCTTCTGGATACAACGCGAGGCCCGACCCGGGGACAGCCATGCCGCGGCGACGCTCCGCCCAGCCACGTGGGTGGAAAGGGACGGCTCCAGAGATGCTGGTTGTCAGGGGCGGGGACCGAAAGATTTTTTGCATCTTAATTCATATTAATACCCAGGTTATCATCATCTTGAACATCATTATCATTAGATGCATGAGCCGGGGAGGCAAGGAACTGCTGCGTTTCAGCCGTTCGGGGTGTGTGTGTGTGTGTGTGGCACGAGAAAATGTTTAAAATACATGAAAAGCATTAAAAATACTACTTTTAGACCAATTACTTTGATTTTTTAAAAAATTAAAATATTTTTATCCTGTTTCTCCACTAGTGAGCAAATTGGCTAACAAACGGGGCTGGCTAAAAGCAAGATTAAAAATAAAGTTCTACTCTAAACCTAAAATTTACAAAATACTATATATAGATTAAAATATACAGATTAAATATAAAAAATATATGTATATAGATTAAAAAAGGAGAGCCAGATGGGTGTAGTGGCTAAGGTGCTGGCCTAGAAACCAGGAGACATGAGTTCTAGTCCTGTCTTAGGCATGAAAGCCGGCTGGGTGGCTTTGGGCCAGTCACTCTCTCTCAGCCTAACCCACCTCACAGGGTTGTTGTTGTTCTTGTGGGGAAAATAGGAGGCAGGCATATTAGATACATTTGCTGCCTTGAGTTATATATAAAAAGGCGGGATAAAAAAATCTATAAAAATAATAACAATATTTGAAACAGCAGTCCAGAGTATTAGTTAGTTGCTTTCTGAAATGCTAACACCGTACACAGGCTGATAAGTTTCAAGAGTTATTCTCTGCCATCTGTAACTCAGGTAAGTCTTTCCAGATGTTTTGGGCAGCAGGCCAGTCACTTCCATACAGGACCTGGGTATGGTTTTTATTTATCTAAATTATTTATATGGCTGCCCATCTCACAACAGTGACTCTGGGCAGCATACAAAGATCAAACAGCAACCCAGCATGTAACCCATGACACCCAAGGTTAAAATGGTAAACCCCATATTATAAAACTCTCCCCTCCACATTTCTTAATTGGGGCACGTGGTCCTGTCTTTTAGACTGCAATCCTGAAGGCAGAATTTCTATCATGTTTTGCATTTTGTTATCGTCCATCCAGTCAACCTTGACTCCTGGTGACGACAGAAACAAATCCCTGCAGTTCTCTTGGCAAGATTTCAGAAGCGGTTTGCCCTTGCCTCCTTCCTAGGGCTGAGAGAGAGTGACTGGCCCAAGGTCACCCAGATGCATAAGGCAGGATTAGAATTCACTGTCCTCCTGGCTTCTAATCCAGCATTTTAACCACTAGACCAAACTGGTTCTCATTTTACATTTTGTACTGCACTTTAAAAAATCAAGTTACTAGAGAGATTGCCACGTTAACTTTGTTACATGTTTTTTTCCAAAATGTGGCACCATAAAAATCTAACCAATTTAAGTTTTCCCTAGACCGCCTTCTTCATGATAGTGCTATCCATTGCTTGAGTTTTCTGCACCTGACAACTTGTCTGTTGAGTATGCAAACTGATTCCTTTGGAAAGAAAATATTGTACTGAAGGCAATTATGAGAATTCAGTCTGTGTTGGCCATGACTTCTATGCCTTTGTGAACCAGCCCCAGAGATGCTGGGATCACGTACTAAGAAATTAAATGGTAAACATGTCTGAGTGAACCAAGACGGGGAAATGAATGAATGAGTGAAGAACAGAGAGAAATCAAGTCCTTGTTCTTGATAAACAGGGTAGTATACAGAATTGGGACCAACCTGCCTGTTTTTCAGACACTAGCTGTTGTAGATTACATTTTCATTTTCCAAAATAAACCTGCCCTGATACCTAGGGATAAAACAGAATATAAATGGAATATTATCTCTTGACATCAATGCGTGTTATCTTTGTCTTTAATTGGAAAGCACCTTCAAATGCCATTTGTCACTTCCCCTTCTGAGATCAAAATATCTCTGACTCTGTAACTTGAAGCGCTGCCATTAAAAAACAAAACAAAAACTGCCTGGCATTTTAGGAAGTATGCCAAGCCACTTCTCATAATCTGACTTCATTAGCTAGTTGGGATGATGACAGAATCTGATCATTCCCTGCTTGATACACTGTGACCTGGGGCTGAGGATCCAAACTGATCCCCAACCCAAAAGCATTGCTCTGAGATGTCAGTTTTCTGCTTTTGGTATCTCTGATTGCCCATTCCCATAATTCAGATAACAAACATCCATGTGTGAATCCACTTATGAGGGAACAGAGTACAGTGGTACCTTGGGTCACGAACGCTTCTGTTCACGACCAATTC